CCAGTTACCAGCGGTGATTTGTTCCAGCCTTCTTTTGCAGTTGTGATTCGGAGAAGAGGGCGAGCACCTATCATTTGGGTTTGTTCTGTCTCCTTGTTTTGTTTTTAGCTAGTCTTGTTGCCTTTGATACACGCTCTGTTGTGGTCCACTTTTGGGACTCGTACTCTTTATTAGATAGCTCTGTACTAGTAACTTCCAGGTTTTGGGAAGGATTTCTGTATATATTTATTTTGGGTTGCTTCTGTCTTGTTATTCTTGTTTAGATTATTGTTATCGTTAGTTTCTGTCCTTTCGTTCATTGCTTGATGTTCTGGGTTACGAGTTGGCATACCTATTGGTAGGGTATAGTAGCTGCCATCATAACTCGAGAAATCGGGTCGTGACAAGTTGGTATCAGAGCCTCAGGTTCACCGGTCTCACTTGTGCAGAGATAACGTCTAATATAGTCGTGCGGATCGGTGCGGAGACGTCTGTAACTTATCTTCGGGAGGCTACAGGATGTCCTTAGAAAGATTTCCTCTTTTGTTTTTCTTTCGTGCAGCATGTGTCTTATTGGTTCCTTAAGATCTCACTTATTTGACACTTTCGCAGGATGGCTCGCACGCGTGGTGGCGTGGCCCGGGGTGATGCACCCAGACCTGTAGACAGAGCCCAGCTTGGGGTAGACGCCGACCCTGAGGTCGAGAGAGGGCCGCAACATCATTCTAGGAGAGAGAGGAGGATCCAGAGCCAGTAGAAGACCCTTCAGAACTTCGTATAACATATCAGCCGGTGGGGCCGGGGCCAGCGCAGCCGTCACCCGGATTAGTTCTGACCCTAGATCTCTATGCCGCTATTGCTCAGCTCTTAGGTTTGCTTAGGGGGATGCAACAGCCACCCTCCCCAGTTACACCAGAACTAGTACCGCATGATCAACCTACAGTGAGGGAACCTCAGGTCCAGGTACCACCCGAGGGAGTACAGCCCTTAGCAGCGGACAGACCTATGCCTCTTGAGGACCAGAAGATGCTTGGTGTGTTTCTCAGGTTGACACCACCTAGGTTTTCTGGGGCAGTGGGTTAGGATGCCCACGAGTTTCTTACTACTTGTCGTGAGAGGCTTCGCACTTTGGGCTTTGTGGAGTCTAGAGGGGTTGACTTCATTGCTTACCGGCTAGATGGGCCAGCTAGGAAGTGGTGGCGCACATTCATTTAGACCAGTCCAGTTGGATCTCCACCAGTATCATGGGATGACTTTTCTGAGGCCTTCTTGGCCAAGTTTATCCCTCGTAGTATCACAGACCGCCTCAGGGATCAGTTCTGCAGGTTGGAGCAGGGCTCCATGTCGGTGTCAGAGTACGTGACTAGGTTCCACGAGCTTTCCCGTCATGTCGAGATGATATTACCTATAGAGGAAGAGCGAGTTAGGTGCTTTGTTCGTGGGTTGAGATTGCAGCTTCGGCTTAAGACCCAGTCCTTAGTTTCTGCGGGTCGATCTTTTTTAGACCTAGTTGACTATGTCAGTACTATGGAGCATCTTCGTCGCGAGGCCCAAGCGGGCAGCGAGAAAAGGGTTTGGCAAGAGGGCCACTCCAGTGACTCCCGCTCTAGGTCTAGAGATTATCATGACAGATCCGAAAGACGGTTTCGACAGGGTCAGTCTAGCAGACCTACACAGGCCTCTCTTCAGGCATCAGATGGTGGTCGGAGTGAGGCTAGTCCTATTCAGGGACGCGAGGTGTTTCAGTTGGGTGCTTCAGGCCATGGTACTCGTTCTTCTAGTAGTCGCCCTCGACAGTGTTGCTATGAGTGTGGTGAGATGGGTCATTGGGCCAGGGACTGCCCTAAGCATAGTCGGATTGATCCCGCTCCTCATGCAGCTCCCCCACCTTTAGCAGCACCTCCAGTTAGAGGCCGTGGTAAGGGTCAGGACCGTACAGTTGGTCAGCAGGGTATACGGGGTGGTCCCCGAGGAGGCAGGTCAGGTGGTAGGTTTGATGGTCAGGGCAGAGGCAGACTTAGCCATTTCTATGCAGCTCCAGCGAGGGCGGAGGCTGAGGCATCAGACGATGTGATCACATGTATGATTCTTTTATGCCAGCAGCCCGCCTTGTCTTTATTTTTATCTAGGCTCCACTTTTTTGTATGTTTCTGTTTACTATGCCTCTCGATTGAGTATGATGTCTGAGCCTTTGGTAGTGTCGTTGCGTGTGTCGACCCCCGTGGGTGAGTCTTTAGTAGTGGTTCAGGTATTTTGATCTTGCTTAATTACCATCCAGGGGCGGGACACCCGGGCTGACCTTATATTACTTGACATGGTTGATTTCGATATGATTTTGGGCATGGACTAGTTATCCCCTTATCGCGGTAATTTAGATTTCTTTTCTAAGACCGTTACCTTAGCCATTCATGGTATCCCTCCGGAGGTGTGGCAGGGATCTCGTGGTAGCACACAAGTTGGGGTTATCTCTTTTATTCGTGCTAGGAAGCTAGTGGCTAGTGGATGCTTATCCTATTTGGCCTATGTGCGTGATGTGAGTATGGAGGTTCCTCAGGTTGAGTCAGTTCCTGTTGTTCGTGACTTCTTAGATGTGTTTCCTACTGACCTACCTGGCCTACCCCCGGAGCGTGATACTCATTTTTCGATTGACCTTGAGACAGGTACTCGGCCTATTTCAATTCCGTCATATCGGATAGCTCCTTCAGAGCTCAAGGAGCTCAGTGTTTTGCTTTCGGACCTCTTGGGTAAGGGATTTATCAGACCTAGTGTATCACCTTGGGGTGCTCCCATTCTTTTTGTTAAGAAGAAGGACGGTACGATACGCATGTGCATTGACTATAGGCAGTTGAATAAGGTGACAGTGAAGAATAGATATCCTCTGCCTAGGATTGATGACCTATTTGACCAGCTACAAGGTGCTTCAGTGTTCTCTAAGATTGATTTGAGGTCCGGTTACCTAAAGTTGATGATTAGGGCAGCGGACATCCCTAAGACTTCATTTCGGACCCGTTATGGCCATTATGAGTTCTTGGTGATGTCATTAGGGTTGACTAATGCCCCTGCTGCCTTTATGGACTTGATGAAGCGCGTGTTCAGGCTTTATCTTGATTACTTCGTCATAGTCTTCATTGATGACATTTTGATATACTCGCGGAGTAGGGGTGATCATGAGCAGCATTTGAGAGTTGTGCTCCAGACTTTGAGAGATCAGCGGCTCTATGCCAAGTTCTGAAAGTGCCAGTTTTTGTTAGACTCTGTAGCTTTCTCGGGGCATGTCGTATCCAAGGAGGGCATTATGGTAGATCCGGCGAAGATTGAAGCTATTCGTGATTGGGCTAGGCACACCTTAGTTACTCAGATTCGGAGCTTCGTTGGACTAGCAGGCTACTACAGACGATTTCTGGAGGGTTTCTCTACCTTGGCAGCACCTCTGACCCGGTTGACTCGTGTTGATGTTCCCTTTGTTTCGTCAGAGGAGTGTAAGGCGAGCTTTTTGAGGCTCAAGGAGTTATTGACCACAGCTCCTATATTTACCCTTCCAGTTTAGGGCGAGGGCTTCACAGTTTATTGTTACGCATCTGGCGTTGGTTTGGGTTGTGTATTGATGCAGCAGGGCCAGGGTTATTGCTTATACGTCGAGGCAGCTTGAGATTCATGAGCGCAACTACCCCACCCATGACTTAGAGTTGGCGGCGGTAGTTTTCGCACTTAGTATTTGGAGGCACTACTTGTATGGAGTTCGATGTGAGATCTATATCGATCACTATAGTCTTCAGTACATCATGAGCCAGAGGGACCTTAATGCGAGGCAGCGTCGTTGGATTGAGCTCCTGAAGGACTATGATCTATCTATTCTCTATCATTCGGGCAAGGCGAATGTGGTAGCGGATGCCTTGAGCCTAAAGGCAGTGAGTATGGGTAGCCTAGTCTTCTTATCTGTTGAGGAGCGACCCTTGGTTATGGACATTCAGTTCTTAGCCAATAGCATGGTTCGGTTCGATATCTCAGATCTTAGACGTGTCTTGACCTATTTGGGAGTTAAGTCTTCCTTGCTCGATAGAATCCATAGTAGTCAGTTCGTGGATGAGGCCTTGGTGGCCCACAGAGATTGAGTGTTAGCGGGTGATGCTGGTCAGGCTACCTTAGATCCTGATAGAGTGTTGAGATTCGCCACCGCATCTGTGTTCTGATAGTTGGAGATTTGATTCAGTTGATACTTTCTGAGGGCCATTAGTCTAGATGCTCTATTCATCCGGGCACAACGAAAATGTATCGTGATTTGAGACAACATTACCGGTGGAAGGGCATTAGGAGAGATATTGCTGACTTTGTTTCCTGTTGTTTGTGCTGCCAGCAGGTAAAGGCTGAGCATTTGAGGCCTAGTGGTGAGTTTCAGAGATTACCCATTCCAGAGTGGAAGTGGGAGCGTATCACTATGGACTTCATTTTGGGGTTGCCTCGGACTTCTAGAGGTGTTGACACCATTCGGATCATCGTTGATCGATTGACCAAGTCAGCACATTTCCTTCCTATTCAGTCTTCATTTAGTGCCGAGAGGTTGGCTCGTATCTACATTCGGGAGGTGGTTCGACCTCATGGGGTGTCAGTTTTTATTATATTAGATCGGGGTTCTCAGTTCACGTCTAGCTTTTGGAGGACCTTTGAGGATGAGTTAGGAACTTGAGTTGACCTTAGCACAGCTTTCCACCCGCAGACGGATGGCCAGTCGGAGCGTACTATTCAGGTCCTTGAGGATATGTTGCGGGCCTGTGTTATGGATTTTGGAGGTTAGTGGTACTAGTTCTTACCTTTGGCGGAGTTTGCGTGCAACAACAGCTACCACTCTAGTATTCAGATGGCCCCATTCGAGGCGTTATATGGTACGCATTGTCACTCTCCAATTGGTTGGTTTGAGTCTACAGAGCCTAGGCCGCGTGGTACAGATTTGCTTCAAGAGGCCCTGGATCAGGTGAGGGTGATTCAGGATCGGCTCAAGACGGCTCAGAGTAGGCACCAGAGTTATGATGTTTGGGAGGTGGTGCAAGCTTAGCCCCAGGTACATTGGGCCTTTTGAGAAACTCCGGACAGTTGGGAAGGTTGCTTATGAGTTGGCCCTAGCTCCAGCATTTTCAGCCATCCACCCGGTTTTCCATGTCTCGATGTTGCGGCGATATGTTTCTGATGAGTCCCATGTTCTCCAGTATGATACAGTCGAGTTGGATGATCGTTTGACATTTGTAGAGAAGCCAGTTGCCATTCTAGCCAGTGATGTGAGGAAATTGCGCTCAAGAGCAATTCCTTTTGTTAAGGTCCATTGGAGGCATTGTCCAGTCGAGGAGGCTACCTGGGAGACCGAGCAGGAGATGCGAGAGTAGTTTCCCGGCTTCTTTAAGCCTTTAGGTACTTCTTGATCCTTTCTTTTGTGACCGAAAGTCCTTTTTGTTTGGTCTTGGTCTGGGAATGACAGTTCGGTCACCTGGTCGTTTGTTTGGTCTTGGTGCGAGTTTTTTTGTTTTGGAGCTTATGAACCTTGAACGACCATTTTCGATCAAAAGTTCAAGAAAATGACATCGGCATCCAATTCTGACGATTCCATCAGCTTCGGAAGGGTGATTTTAGGCTAGTAGCACGGTCGACATTACTCCCGAGGTTTTCAGTGTGAGTTGGCGCGATTAGGCGTTTTTACTTTAAGTTTAAGTCTAAGGTTGACTTTGGTCAACAATCTGAGTTAACGCGATCTGATGAGAATTCCGTCTGCGCGGTTAATTCCGGAATGTCGATTTTGGTCTAGATTGACCCTTATTTTGTGTCCCGAGGTTTTTCATATCTTTCCGAGCCCTTTTGTGGGTTTTGACTTAAAATGGCCTTTGGAAGTGGGACCCACTTTTTATCGAGATGACCTCTGATGGAAATTTCGACTACGCCTTTGAGTCCGGAATATTAAAATTTGGTATGGTCGCATATCTCGTTTGCATGCACGGGGTTCCGAACGAGTTCAGAGCACCCCGTTGGAGTTTTTAGTTTTGGAAAAAAAATGCAGCAATTCTACTATTTAATGCAGAAAAACAACAACCTTTTCCAAACTCTCATAACTCTCTCATCTTTTGTCCGAATTAGGTGATTCAAAGTGCGGGAGCTTAGTATTTTCAGTGGATTTGCTGTAGAGTGTTCGGAAGTTGTTGGGTGTACGTAGTTCGAGGTAATTTCGCAATTTACTTGACTGTTGTACCCCTTTTTCGAGCCTTCGTTTTTGGCATTCTTGTTTTGGTCATATCTCTCTCATTTTAGCTCGGTTTTGGGCTGGTATGCTTTCTTATCGTATCCACTTTGACCTGTCTGTGTCTCGATTCTATCCTTTCTAATTGTTTTTATCCTTTTTGCTCAGTCGGCCTATGATGCCTACTGAGTACCTGTTGTGTTGGTACTCACGCTACGCTCTGCATCTATTTCGTGATGCAGGTCCCAGTACCAGTTACCAGCGGTGATTAGTTCCAGCCTTGTTTTGCAACTGTGATTCGGAGAAGAGGGAGAGCACCTGTCATTTGGGTTTGTTATGTCTCCTTGTTTTGTTTTTAGCTAGTCTTGTTGCCTTTGATACACGCTCTGTTGTGATCCACTTTTGGGACTCGTACTCTTTATTAGATAGCTCTGTACTAGTGACCTCCAGGTTCTGGGAGGGATTTCTGTATATATTTATTTTGGATTGCTTCCGCCTTGTTATTCTTGTTTAGATTATTGTTATCGTTAGTTTCTGCCCTTTCGTTCATTGCTTGATGTTCTGGGTTACGAGTTGGCATACCTATTGGTAGGGTATAGTAGCTGTCATCATGACTCGAGAAATCGGGTCGAGATAAGTTGGTATCAGAGCCTCAGGTTCACCGGTCTCACTTGTACAGAGATAACGTCTAGTATAGTCTTGCGGATCGGTGCGGAGACGTCCGTAACTTTTCTTCGGGAGGGTACAGGATGTCCTTAGAAAGATTTCCTATTTTGTTTCGCTTTCGTGCAGCATGTGTATTTGTCCTTTTTGAACATTAATTTTATAAATTGTGCTAAATAGTGTATTTTATTTGTGGGAGTAAATTGACGTGAAGCTGAAGAAGTTTGGAGCTAAAACAAATTAAAGATGGAAGGTTGAAGAAGGAAATCAAGCAGACAGCTTAATGGATTAAATTTATTAAACTAATATATTTCTATATATGGTGCAAGGAAGGACTTTCCAATTCAATTTAAATGTGGTTTGCAGCTGCCACGTGTCACCAGATGACCAGCCCTTGCCGCCAAGAATTTCCATAAATTGCGGCCACACGGAAAACCCAATTTAATTGGGTTTTGTTTTCCTAATTTGTATTGAACTTAATTATTTTATTTAGGGTTTTCTACATCTATAAAGAGTATAGAGTAATAATTATTTGGGGGAGGAGCCCAAGAACCAAGATACAAGACATAATATAAATTTTATTCTAGCTTAGGAACTTTGGAAGAGCCGCCGTGGAGGCCGGAGAATTGTGGTTTATTCTTTCTTCTCCTTTATTATTTATTTGTATTCGTGATTAATAAAATATAGTTTAGCTATTGTTCTTAACTTTTTATGATTAACACAAGCATATTTATTTTAATAAATTTTGATTGTGTTTTTGAGATAATGAGTAGCTAACTTTCATAACCAAGGTTGTGGGAACCATGAACGATTAACAAAGTATGAATAGTAAATAAACAATTCTTGAATAGTGTTTTGCATGCATTGATAATTCTTTCGTTTAAAAGTCTTTTTAACGAGTGCACGCGTTAGAACTCGCCTTGTTGCTACTTGCCGGACCAAGGAGGTAATCAACAAGAAAAGAATTATCAACATAGATTTAGTGTGATACTATCTAATAGGCTAGTGTCGATTGGTGCGAAGTAATAACTAAGCCAAACATCGATTATGATGTCTAATATGAGGTAAAAGTAAGGGTTAGTAAATTATACACACGTAGCCGGACCAAGGTGCGGGGTGAAATTCTCTAGATGCCGGACCAAGGATTTAGAGATACCTAACTTATCACTTTGCATGTAACACACTAGGAAAGGATTGCGATTACTAGAATTACTGCGTTATGAGCTTGTGGTGAACACATATACCCTAGTTAATTTTCTCATCTTGATAACAACAAAAAAAATTGACTTTTGTTTACTGATTACTTACTGAATTCTTACAAGTTGTTTCACAAATCCCCCCTTTTATTTCTTGTTTCTGGAAGTACTTTGGCTAATTGAATATAATTGTTGGTTAAAGTAAAGTCTAAACCATTTTCCTCGTGGGATCGACCCCAACCTACAAGTTGGGTTCTTTACTTAATAACGATCGCTTATACTTCTTTAGGGAGGTGTAATTTGAGCGTATCAAATTTTGGCGCCGCTGCCGGGGAAATTGGCTTTTAGATTAACTTTTAACTACATTATTGAAC